CAGGACCCGAGCCAGGACGGGCTCCGGAGAGCCGCACAGCATGGACCAAGGAGGGGAGGAGAAGACCCAAGGAGTTAGAGATATGTAATAAGATATAACAAAATAAACAGAGAGTGAAGAAGAGAGAAGGTGCTGGTGCCTGATGGGTAATCCCCCAGCAGTGTAGGCCTATAGCAGCATAGCCATGGATGACTATGGTTCAGGGTTGAGCTAAAAGCTTTATCAAAAAAGAAGGTTTTAAGTCTAGCCTTGAATGTAGAGACCGTGTCTGCCTCCCTCACTGAGAGTGGGAGCTGGTTCCAAAGGAGATACCACGCCTCCACCCCACAATCACTACTGCACAGACTCTGACTTTATACGACATTATCACCACAAGATGGCAGCATTTGTATCAGAGATATTTTAGCTTCATTTTTGTACAGAAAAATTTTTGTACAGTGTCATCATCTTAATTTTTAGATTTTATTTTATATAAAAACAGACTCAGACTTTGTTTCTTCTTGTTTAATTAAAATATTCAGTTAATATGAAAACTTGATACAGAATAAATGAAGAATAAAGAGTTCAGATCTGATCCAGGACCTGCCTCTCACCTGCCGGTCACACCTGATCACATCATCTGACAGTACCTGTTCTACGAAGCGAGTTCAATATATCCAGGATATCTTTATGTAATCCGACGGTTTTCCTCTAGATATGAGAGCATGCACATAAAAGGGGCGGGGTTTACTCCATATGACCAATCACAGACATGGACAGTTTGACTGACAGCAGAGCTGAGGATCAAACTGTTGTATAATAAAAATCAGCGAAGAACAAAGATCCAGAACAAAGAAACAGTTCCAGCTTCTAAACGCAGAACAACAGCTGGTGACACATCTGGGATTGAGCTGGTTTTTAACCCTCTGCTCTGTCTGTCAGGCATCAGCAGCCTCACAGACAGCTCTCCTCCTCTTCCTGACAACTGCAGGGAGACAGCTTGTCGGCTTCCTGTTTACCCTCTGAGGATGTCACTTCCTGTGGTTGTGGTGTATCTGAGTGATGGAGGCTGCAGAGGAAACATCATCATAACTGATTTCACAATAAAAGTGTTTTCTCTTCAAAATAAAAGTGGATGTGAAATCTCGTACCTGGCTGCGTCCAGCGCAGTGCCGCCACTCGTTTCTTGGGTGATGTCAGAGATGTGGATGATGTAAGTCCCAGGGGAAGGGCCCGCCTCCTCCGGCCCCACCTCTGACAGGTGACGTTTCACAGGAAGGGCGGGGCTTTCTGTTAAGAAGAAGAGGGTGGGGTTTGTATTTAGTACAAGTGTTGAGTTGTCGTGTACTTGTGTTGTCTTGTTGATGTTGTGGTGTGTTATCTGTGTATGAATATGTTGTGTGCAAGTGCTATGTTGTGTGTGTATATGTGGTTTTACCGTGTGTGTTTGTCTGATCCTCAGTAGACCTGATTACACTTCGTCTTGATCGAACAACAGATGGATCTTTCAGGAAGTACTCTGTGAGCCGGACGTAACACTGACACACAACAACAACACAACATGAAGGTCCCGGATCAGCCGTGTGATACACTGATAACACTTGTGTGTCTGAGTGTGTTTGTACCTTGTTGTGTTCTTCAGGCAACAAGTTTCCAATGGAGATGATGAGCGAAGAGAAGGACGGTCTGAGCTGAGGCTCCGACTCCCAGCAATGTTTCATCAGCTGGAAGCTACAGACACACAAAGCACAGACATCTTCATACTAATGTGAGACTCTTTAAAGTGTGTTGTGTGTCTCAGGTGAGTGTTTTGTGTCACGTGTTGTGTCGTACATGTGGTGCGGAGCGTGTTCAGGTCTGCTCATCCTGTGTCCTCTCTTCAGAGCAGAGTAAAACTCTTGGGTCATGGAGAGGTCGGGGTACGGGCTCTCACCTGGGACAAAATACATACTACGGTCATGTGAGCCCTCGCCGCTCATTCACTTTGAATCTGAGCAAGTGACGTTAAAACATTCACTTCCTGTATTGAACTTTTCAGTCTAGTTCACACTGATCTAGACTGGTTCAGTCTAGTTCACACTGATCTACACTGGTTCAGTCTAGTTCACACTGATCTAAACTGGTTCAATCTAGTTCACACTGATCTAAACTGGTTCAATCTAGTTCACACTGATCTAAACTGGTTCAATCTAGTTCACACTGATCTAAACTGTTTCAATCTAGTTCACACTGATCTACCCTGGTTCAGACTGGTTCACACTGGTTTACCCAAAGAGAAGATCTCCCACAGTAAGACTCCGTAGGACCACACATCGCTCTGAGAGCTGTAGATGCTCTGGAAGATGCTCTCTGGAGACATCCACTTGAGCGGCAGGAAGTTCTGAACAACAACAGGAAGTAAATGCTGTTTGTGTGCCAGTGTTTATTGATCATGGTTACTGAGGTTAATTCAATACGTTAACTGACGTTGCCTCTAGCGATGTAGTCCTGGTCCTTCATCAGGTCCCGTGCCAAACCAAAGTCGCAGACCTTCACCAGCTTTCCATCACAGACCTGGACGTTCCTTGCTGCCAGGTCTCTGTGGACACACTTAGGGACACCAGGACATGTGAATGAACATGTGTTCAAACGAAACATGCTAACACACAACAATGCAAGCTAAACTGTGACAGAACATAACAGAACCCAACACAACATACTAACACATGAGAAAATATGCTAACAAACAACACAACATGTTAACATGTAACACAACGTGCTAACAAACAGGATTTCAATGAGTGGCCATTGTGAAAAGAGCATTTGGCTTGGTAACTTTACAACCAGTCAGGATAAGAGTCAGAACCTCAAAGTCCGAGCTCATGGTTTTCTGCTTGAAAACAGTGGATTCTTCTCGGCAGGTTGTGTGTCTGGGTTGAGTTGCTGCCTCATGTGAAGGAGTTGAAATATCTCCTGGTTTTGGTCACAAGTAAGAGGAAGATGGAGCGTAAGATGGATAGGTTGATTGGTGAAGCATCAACAGTAATGCGGAAGTTGTACTAGAGCGTTGTGGTGAAGACAACCGAAAGAACATCGCAAATACAGGTGGCCAGAATGAGTTTTATCCATTGGGTTTCTGGGCTCAGCCCAAAAGATGGTTCAGACATCAGGGAGTTCGGAGTGGACCCGCTGCTCTCTCACATAGAAAAGGGAGAGTTGAGGTGGTTCAGGCATCTATTCAGGAGCCTCCTGGGCACCCTCCATTGGAGGTTTACGCCCAACAGAGAGGAGACTCAGGGGCAGACAGATCACACTGGAGGGACTATATATCCCATCAGGCCTAGGAACACAAAAAGGGATGTCTGCGATACCCAACGTGGCCAACTACCTCTGCAGCCCGAGTACGGATAAACAGAAGGGTGGAACTCAACATGCTAACAAACAACATGGTAACATGTAAAGGCTAATTTAT